ATATATATATATATATATATATAATATATACATACATATATATATATTAAATTCCATTTTTCAACTTTATGATAAAGTATAAACTCCCTAAAATGGGGATTTAAAATAAAAATAGTAAAATGGGAACCATAACAAAATAAAAAAATGCAGTATTAGAACCAGTAAACTTTCTGAACCCTTTAGATAATATGCTTGTGATCGCAATTTAAATAGATATGCATTGTACATCCACATATTCATGTTTTCAAATCTCAGGTAGAGCTGAGTTGAATAAATTACAGTATGTCACTACAATAATATATGTCATTCATATGGACCCCGAAAAATAAACAACGTAATCGGCGACACAATGTACAAGAGTATCACGATATTTGAGCGATAACGGCAAAAAAAAAAAATTTTTTTAATTTATGCTTGAAAAAAAAAAATGCGCGCTTATTTCCGTTAGATTACGCCGCTTTTTTCAACAAATATTTCTGTTACGCACAGAACTACCATTCCACATTTGTTTATTGGCTATTGATAAAGATGCATTGTTCTCGTTAAGCTATCTTTGTACTTGGTTTCGATGTTACCAAAAAGAAACATGTTCACACATTATGGTCATACTTTGATTAATTGACATTTTATTATACAAACATGTAAATATTATAGATTGACATGGGAGTTATTTATAGATTTAATTCAAGCTGTCGGAAAGTCCAAATTAATTTTTTACAAAAAAAAAAAACAATAAAATTTTTATCACATGATTTAAGTGTTTCACCACGGATTAAATTCGGACAAACTCCCAGAAAATCCAAATTTGCCCATTTTGTTTACTATTTGGATTATTAAAGTTGGGTTCATCATAACAAACCCTCCCTGATTAATTCGATTCATTCTTGAGCCTACTTCCTAATAAGTATTAAAAACTCTAAAAATTTTTTCTAATTGGTTTATTTATGATTTTTATCATTTTAAAAGTAAACTTCCTTTTAGAGTAATTTGAATCTGTTCCACTATCGTATAATATAAATAATAATTTAATTAGTACATAAATAAAAAAAATTTTTTTTTTTTTTTTTTTTAAATAAAAAAAAAAGAATATTTGAAACATAACTCCTCAAATTCTTACGCCCTTAAAGTTCTTTAGATCGATTTTCTTTGTTATCATCATTTCAAAAACAAGATCTTGAGTAATTCTAAATTTCTTTCTAGAACGTCATTCTAAAGAGAAAGTTTAAAAGCGCGAAAATCCATTTCGTCGATCATCTGATTCGTTATTTTATTTAAAGTTTCCAAATTTCCATTCCCAAGAATACTTGTATATTAAAAATTTTTTTTTTTTAATTAGGAAACTTTGTTCCGAAGCATTTATTAATAGATTCATTATTCTTTATACTGAGTAATTGAAACAAAAGTAGATTAGTGTAAAGGCTTTTTAATTCTGAATAAAGTATAATTTGATTCATTTTATAATTATTAACGATTATTATATAAGCATCATCATCTAACCTAAATTAGAATTTTATTCTAATTTTATATATTCGTTTATTTTAAAATCTTATTTTTTATTTCTATTTTCTAAATTGCAATTATAATAATTATAATGAAAAATTAAAGAAATAATATTTAATAATTTCTTATAAAAACTGTTTAATATTGATTTATACACAGTATATTATATTTTAATTAAAAGCTCAATTTATAAAGAAAATTCTTTTATATGTATTTTTTACAATAGCATGTTTAAAGAAAATAAAATGTAAGCTGTAAAAAAATGAACACTTATAAATTCATATTGCTTATTATTTAACAAAACCCATATGATCTCAAATAAGTATTCAAATAACCTTTCAAAATATAAAGGTTTTATTAAATTTAAAGTATATTTATTATTATTCAGATATTCTTTTTTTTAAACTTTTTTTTTTAAAAAAAAAATATATATACTAATAGTAATAAGTATCAATTAATATTTCACTTATATTTTTACTTTTTTAATATTTATAAATCTAATCTTTTATTTTTTTTATTTTTTATTTTTTTTTTATTATACTCAAAGGGAATAGTATTTCTTATTAAAGGAGAATTTAATAATTTAATTAATTATAAAATATCATAAAATACTAATTATGAAAAATATTATATTTCTATATTTATTTTTTTAGAAATCAAATTCACAATTCTAAAGATAAAATATCAAAAGAATTTACAATTTCAGATGCAATAATTTAATATCAAAAATGTATAAAATGTAAAAAATATGTAACTTTCTTTAGTTGAGAGAAAGAATGCAATAATTATTCCTAGTTAATTAATAGACGAAATATTCAAGTACTTTGCAATGAATTAGAAGAAAACTTCATATCAGAAAGTTTTTAAAAATAAAGAAACCAAGATATATCTATTGCATGTGTTATAAATAATTGGATAAGCATATTCATAAACATACAGAGCAAAATAAAAGATCAAATTGTATTCAAGATAAATTGCATAAATAAATATTGAAAAGGAATCAATTTTATTGCAAATTGGTTTATTAAAATTTTCTATACAGGTAAAAATTTAAAATTGAGAAAAATTTTAAATTTTATTGTAAAAGCTGTCTTTCCTTTTCTCCTAAAATTAAAATTATATCATCATTTACAAAATCTGATAAAACTCTTAGCCTTTTTATTATATAAACTCTTTCCTTAATATATTTACCAGAAATAAATTACAAGATATTAATTAACTGTAAAAGTTTAAATCAAAAATTTGGAATTAAAGTTATTAAACTCTGGAAATCATATAAAGCAACAAATAAAAAAAGGATTAATTAAGCTTATCAGGATTACTTTTTGAATATTAGTATTATACCTTTCCAAATTTCATCACAGTTTAAATAAAAACTTGCTATTAGTAATCAATAAGAATAAATTACAAAAACTTTATCTGAAAATTCAATTACAAAATAGTTACTTTTCTTGTTTTGTTCTTACTAGTATAAATTTTCTTTATGTGACATTTAGTTGATTAGTGTACTAAGTAGTTTAGCATATAAACCAAAATTATTATTATCACTTTACTATCTTTTTACTTTATAAAATGTAATTAGACATAGTGAACATTATAAATAAAATTAAAAAAGAAAACAAGTTAATAGTGCTGTTTTATATAAAAACTATACTGAGAATTAAATATATAAAATCTTGCAGTTATAGATAATATTGATTTTTAACAAAAAACTTTTCTTTTAAAAATATATATGACAATATTAGAAACAGTTCACATACAATTTTAAGAATAGTATTTCAGTTAAAAATTTCCAATTAACTAATAATATGTTAAGAAAAAGTGACTATTTTGAAAGAAAATATACATATATTTGATATAAATCTTACTATATAAGAAGTTTTAGATGGATTTCAAAATATAGCTAGATTTTTAAAGAATAAATAAAAGGAATTTAGAATATAATCAAAATTTTGATGCAAAAATAATTAAGAAAACAATACTAGAGGAATTGAATATAGCTATCAAGATCCTTTTCTTTACATTATAATTCTTAAATCAAAAGATAATCCAAACTCAGATCAAGCAATTTTAGGAGTGCTAATATATATAAAGCTAATTTTAATTTACTAGAAATTGCATAAACATTATTACTGATAAAGCAATTTTTTATTATTTAATCAGATGTCAAGTACAATAGTCTTAATTAAAACTATTA